GAGCTATACTCGCCGTATAAGACTACCCCTCTTCCAATGCACACCAGTGGCAGGAATAGTGCCCCATCATCATTGGTAGTGCCCCATCAGTGGCAGGAATAGTGCCCCATCATTGGCATCAGTGGCAGGAATAGTGCCCCATCATTGGTATCAGTGGGAGGAATAGTGCCCCATCATTGGTGTCAGTGGGAGGAATAGTGCCCCATCATTGGTATCAGTGGGAGGAATAGTGCCCCATCATTGGTGTCAGTGGGAGGAATAGTGCCCCATCATTGGTATCAGTGGGGGGAATAGTGCCCCATCATTGGTGTCAGTGGGAGGAATAGTGCCCCATCATTAGTATCAGTGGGGGGAATAGTGCCCCATCATTGGTATCAGTGGCAGGAATAGTGCCCCATCATTAGTATCAGTGGGGGGAATAGTGCCCCATCATTGGTATCAGTGGGGGGAATAGTGCCCCATCATTGGTATCAGTGGGGGGAATAGTGCCCCATCATTGGTGTCAGTGGGGGGAATAGTGCCCCATCATTGGTGTCAGTGGGAGGAATGGTGTCCCAACATTGGTGTCAGTGGGAGGAATGGTGTCCCATCATTGGTGTCAGTGGGGGGTGGAATAGTGCCCCATCATTGGTGTCAGTGGGGGGGGGGGGGGGAATAGTGCCCCATCGTTGATGTCAGTGGGGGGGAGGAATAGTGCCCCATCGTTGGTGTCAGTGGGGGGGAGGAATAGTGCCCCATCGTTGGTGTCAGTGGGGGGGAGGAATAGTGCCCCATCGTTGGTGTCAGTGGGAGGAATAGTGCCCCATCATTGGTATCAGTGGGAGGAATAGTGCACCATCATTGGTATCACTGACACCAATGATGGGGCACTATTCCTCCCGCTGACACTTGCTGACCCTGTTCTCGTATGGTGCTGCTGCAGCCAGCATATGTGGTTGCAGCAGCACCTCTACACTGACCACTTACCTGCTGGTCCTGCACTCGATTTTCGCGGGGCCGCTCGGCTCCACCCCCTCGCCGGTGATTGGCCGCCTGTGTGCCTTTCCTGAGCTACAGTTCTGGCGGCCAATCACTGGTGAGGAGGCGGAGCCGAGCAGCCGCACGAACATCCAGTGGCCGAACTGAAGGCGCAGCCGCGCCTCCTGGACCGGATCGTCGTGGGACCGGAACCAGGTAAGAAACAGCCGCTGCCCACCCCTGTACTTAGTGTCCCTTCCATTGGGGGAAGGGGGGGGGGCGGCGGCGGCAATGTGCCGCCCCCCTAAAAAGTGTCAGTATGCCGTATACCGGCGTAAAAGACGACCCCCGACTTTTGAGAAGATTTTCAAGGGGTAAAAAGTCGTCTTATACGCCGGCAAATACGGTATCTATTTTTATTTTATTTTTTTTAACTTTATAATTTCATTTTATCTCTTTTCTTGTATTTCAGCATTATTATTCAGTTTCTCTTGTCTTCTTCCTGTTTTCCAATCCCTCTATCATCACATATATACACACCTGAGTCTTTTGTTCATGGCCAATGATGCATATATATTTCCAGGCTTCTCACATCCTCACTACCTCTGAGTCCAAGCCCTGATGAGCAGGGAGAAACGCGTCAGTGGGCGTGGCCAGAATCGTGGTCGAGGCCATTTCTCAACATTGAATTCCTGGTGTCGGTTGAGTGGCGTCCATCCCTTCGCTCGTATAGGTTTCAGGATTAGCATTTATTAAAAAAATTCTTTTAGACTTGGTTCACACCGGGGAGAAACGCGTCAGCGGGCGTGGCCAAGGCCATTCCTCAGCATTGAACTCCTGGTGCCGGTTGAGTGGCGTCCATCCCTTCACTTGTATTGGCTGACACAGGAATCGCTCGATATCATCATACTCCCCTTTTCTCACTTGCCGGTTGGGTGATCCTTTTCCTTCCATCCATAGCTTGGAGCAACGCCATAAGGTATACTTTTCACTAATGCTGAAACCTGATTGGATGTTTGATAGGAAGCCACTTCTTAACCACTTCAAGTCCGGACACTTTTACCCCCTTCCTGTCCAGGCCAATTTTTCAGCTTTCAGCGCTATCACACTTTGAATGACAATTGCGCGGTCATGCAACACTGTACCCATATGAATTTTCAGCATTTTTTTTAGACAGATAAAGCTTTATTTTGGTGGTATTTATTCACCGCTGGGATTTTAATTTTTTTTGCTATGTGAATGAAAAAGTCCAAAAATTTTGAAAAGTGTTTTTCTTATAAAATTTTGCAAATAAATAATATAATATTGCATCATAAATCTTGGCCAAAATTTATTCTGTTATCTTTTTAGTAAAAAAAAATAACCCAAATTAGTTTATAACCAAAAATTATAATTTTTAAACATTTTTTTTTTTACATTTCTATTTTATTTTTTTATATTATTATTATTTTTTTTTTTTAACATACTGTCACCCTAGCAGTACAGTCTCACCATAGTTGGGGGTGATTTTTTTTTTTTTTTACACGGATTGCTTTTACACCCATAAAGGCTGTAAAAGCAATCATTTCTCCTTCTCTCTGGTTGCATTCTTGCAGCCATTGAGAACTACTGTGTGAGCTGTGATTGGTCACAGCTTGTCACATGGTACAAGGCTGTTTTGAATAGCCCTGTACCATGTGACCTCTGTGATCATTCACAGATTTCACACGTAGTAAGCAATGATGTCAGAAGTGACATCTTGCTTACTACTGTGCATGTGATCACTGATTGGCCAATCAGTGATCACGTGATCGGGCCTTCGCGCAGAGGTCCCGTACAACGATCGGTGTTCCACTGCAAGCGGGCACCGGATCGCGGTGCTGTGCGCTCCCAGGGAGCGCGCACAAGCAGGGTGCTGGGAGGTCGTTTATATACAACGGATGGACGGGAAGTGGTTAAAGCCAGTTATTGTGTAAATAATCGTTGCCAGCTAGAGCCTGATCTGAAACGTTTTCGGCATCTACACTATCCCAGTTATCCTGGAGTTATTGTCTGTGATTTAACTTGACGTAGTACCATGTCAATGTTGATCACTATGGAATGACAAAAGGAAAATGGTACAGATGTCGTTACAGATTATAGAAAGATGGGCTTTGTCAGATGAAGTGTTCGTTTCCAGTTCTAATTTCTCCTTCGGTGTAGCGATCGCTCCCCAATGCCCGTCTGATTATTATCTCTTTTGTGTAGGGACCTTTTCTTTTAGTGTTCTTACACAAATAAAGACTATCTGCCTTCGCCAAGCGTTCATCATTCTCAGATCCTCAGACAGCTGGAGGGAAACATCGATCCTTATCCGTGTGTGTGTAGATAATGAATTACAATTCCTGTTAGGTTGTATGTTCTTCATAAGTGTTCTGTTTGAGGTAGAATAATGATCTGTTTCTTTTGGGTTTCTAAGGATACCATATGTTCATGTAAACATCAAAGGCTTTCATAAAACCATCAGAAAATCATATGTACGTTGCTGCAGAGGCGGCTGCGTTTTTGTGGATGAAAACCCAGATGTCTGCCAGCTTCAGCCAAACTATCTGCACTAGACATTGTGTGTCTGATTATTGTGAACAAGGACCAGGCACATTGCAGGAAATACGGGGGAGCTGGAGTCCTCTTGTTTACAAAGTTGTCATGTAGAAGTAATAACTAGTCCCTGATGCACTGATGCTTGCAGGAGGGCTTCCTAAAGCTGGGTATGCATGATCGTTTTTTGCATTCGGCGCAGGGGTGTCAAACTGGTGGCCCTCCAGCTGTAGCCAAACTACAAGTTCCATCATGCCTCTACCTTTGGGAGTCATGTTTGTAACTGTCAATCTTGCAATGCCTCATGGGACTTGTAGCTTGGCAACAGCTGGAGGGCCACCAGTTTGACACCCGTGAGTTAGTGGGTTAAACGAAAAAAAAAAAAAATCCCTGTATCCAAATGGCAATTTAATGGCGTGCCCCCTACCTGGAAATGCTGGATCATGTACATGTACGTGATCCAGCCCAGCCGGGCACCCCTTTAGCTGTACATATACAGTGAGCGATCCAGAAGCGGTTAAAGGTTGTTTGCCTTTAGGAGCATGTTACACATTACACCCCTATTTATGGTGTAACATGATCCAGCACCTTCACCCTCAGCCCTCGATCCTCCTCCCCCCTAGGCCCGCTGGCACATTTTATAACCAGCATGGCTGTGCGTGGCTCCACCCACACAGTCATGTCATTCATTCACAAGAAACTGTGAATGAGTGAATGTAACAGAACCGACCCCAGAGTGTGCTTGGGTACTTCCGTTAGAATACCGCTTCTCCATCCAAACACCAACCACAGCCGACCATACAAGACTAGACGACACCAGTCTTAAAGTAAACCAGAGTAGTTTATTTGAAAACAGATACAAGATATATACACTCAGGGGACAATCCCCCCTCCCTGCATAATGACACAGGGTGGGACATTCTACATTTAGTAACGAGACACACAGGTATTCAAAACTTCACACCAGCAAACAGTCCCATTAGGAGGGAGGGCTGCTGGAGATACCCCCCCCCCCCCCCACCAAGCCAATACACATAAACACATACATCCCATAATAGTTTGCTTCCAAGCAAGACACTCAATAGAACAATGGGATGCAACCACATGACACCAAAAAATCCACAACCCCCACCCCACCTCTCTCCTAGACATGTCTACACAATATTAGCACAGATCACCCTGTACCCCTAACAGGCACAGGGTGACTTACACATAGTAGGAATATGGGGAGCTGAGACAGGGGTCTCCCCTCCTCTTCAAAGTGAGCTGGGCTCCATGGGCCCCCCACCCAAAGTGACTCCTGTCACAGTGAACTACAAGTCCTGTCTGCCAGCACAGCAGTCAGCTTGTACTTCTCAATGAACTACAAGGGCACTGATGAGCACTTGTGTAGGACTCTTCCTACAGCTTTCAAACAGCCTGTACACAGGTCACGCGATGGTGTAACCCACACAGAGAGAAATTCATTCTCCTTCTTTTTATTTCAGATATTTCTATGGAAGACGTCGAAGGGGTAGACAAGGACCCTATTGATGAAAAGAAAATGTCTGACAGCGAGGATGCCAGTGAAGAAGACGATGAAGAAGAGGAGGAACAAGCAGAGGGCAATGAAGAAGCTGAAAATTCCAATGCTGAAAAGGATTCTGGGGAGAATTCTGCAGCAGAGGGTTCTGGGACAGAAGAGGAAGAAGACACCGGCACGCATATACCACCTCCAAACACACCTGAATCTGAAAGTGCCTTGAGACAACGCAGAAGTGAAGCTGCAGCCCAGAGTGGACATTAATCATTTCTGTATGCTTTAGATGTTTACCTTTTAAGGACCAAAGATGAGTCGTTTGTTGCTGAAGGGTTTTTTTTTCAAAGTTTTTCTTCTAGCACAAGTCAGTGTTTCGCATGCAAATGTCCGTTTTTTTATGAAAATAGCACATTTTTTAAAAGGATTTTTTTCTGATTGTTTTGTGACTAGCTCCCGACAATCAGAATTATTGGTTTACACCAGATAGTTTGCATTTAGTTAGTTTGCTAAATCTTGCAGCAAACACAATTTTAGCTAAAGAACTTCAAGCAGATGGCTATATACAAAGTTGAAATACATATATGTTTACTGTTCTACCTACCAATGGATTTATATTTCTGTGCAGACAGTTTTTTCTTTGATTTGCACTCATGTGCGGCAACACACAGCCAGGGAGATCACCCATCTCATTTTCTGGTTTAGGCCTCGTTCCCTTGAGCATACTATAGTGTTTGCCCACATGAGGTGTTCCGTGCTTCCTTGTGCAGGCAGTTCCATTCATGTCATTTGGGACACAGCAGCTGCAGAGTTACTCGCCTAGATGGCTGGACCACTGATCCCAGCTGCAGCTGTGCCCAACCAGCTTTACCCTGAGAACTGAGCGATCAAATACCGCTGATCGCTCAGTTCTTCCCGTCTGCTCTGAGCAGAGAGCAGGGATTGTCAGTCACTGGCTCTCTGCTCTGCCTCTCCATGTGCGGCAGCACACAGCCTTGGAGATCACCCATCTCATTTTCTGGTTTAGGCCTCGTTCCCATGAGCGTACTATAGTGTTTGCCCACATGAGGTTTTCCGTGCTTCCTTGTGCAGGCAGTTCCATTCATGTCATTTGGGACACAGCGGCTGCAGAGTTACTCGCCTAGATGGCTGGACCACTGATCCCAGCTGCAGCTGTGCCCAACCAACTTTACCCTGAGAACTGAGCGATCAAATACCGCTGATCGCTCAGTTCTTCCCCTCTGCTCTGAGCAGAGAGCAGGGACTGTCAGTCACTGGCTCTCTGCTCTCCCTCTCCAGTGCTCACTGGAGTGCTGGGCTGTGAAGGGGGAAGGAGCGGCTGGCTTAGACTCTCAGTGGCTCGCTGTGAGGTTGAGACTGCTGCCGGTCCAAGCATCTGGGTGGATCCCGACTCCTAAAGTTAGGATCTTTACAGAGCTTGGACCAGCTGAGTGATGTCAGCAGATAGCGGGCTTTAACCAAGTTTTGGCTGAAAACAGGTCACAGGAGTGCATAATGAAGTGCACAACTGTGATCCATAGGAGAAGTATAGCCAAAATAGCTTTGACTTTACTTCTCCTTTAACAGCTGTGCGGGTGCCTAACCCCGAACGCACACTGTCTGCATTCAGGGCTGTACACCCGCACTCACAGCTGTCAGATTGTGGTCAATGGCTGTCTGTGCAGCCACTGCGTCCCAGTTGAGATGAATGGGACTGCCTGCACAGAAAACCTCTGCATCCCCATATGGACAAATGCGACACACACTATAATACTGCCATGTAAATGAGGCCTTAGGTCTATCTTGGATCACCCCCCTGCTAATTGGACAGAGGTAGTAATATTGGCTGGTTGTCCAGAGAGCAGTCTGGATGCAATGTGAATGCAAACTTGTGTAAATCAAAATTCCCTTGCTAGATAAAAGGAATAACCGAAAGAATACAGTTAGATCCATATATATTTGGACACAGGCACAATTTTTTTTTTTTCAGGTATTTACCAAAACATATTCCAGCTCTAGTTCTATAATGGATATGGGCTGAAAGTGCACACTCTCAGGTTTAATTTGAGGGTATGTACATCCAAATTAGAGGAAGGGTTTAAGAATTTCAGCTCTTAAGAGTAGCCATCCCTCCTTTTTCAAGGGACCAAAAGTAATTCGACAATTGAACCAAACGCTGTTTCATTCACAAAAATTGGTGCAGTGCTGAAGGAATTAATATATAACAGTGCACTAATAAAAAAAAATATGAAGTTATTAACACAAGTGATAACATGGGAGTGAATCGCTACAATGAGCGCAAATATATAAGTATGACTGTGAAATCAAAAATACAGACAAAGAAAGTGTTCCTATGATAGTGAGGGTCTGACAAGCAGCGGTCAGAAAATGGTTCCACATACAGATCCTGTTGCACAGGTGCTATCAAAGAATTCCATGTGATTTTAATCCATCTGACTTTTATCCGTGCAGGGAATTTGATAAAAATGCACACTCAACCAGATGCGCATAAGTAAAAGCGCAATGTGTTGAATCATATAATGACCACAAGATCTGCAGGAAGCCCCCTTTAGGTGGACCAGACAGACAGCATAGAAAGAGACTCCCTCCTCTGGATCTGAGACTGCTCTGCAACTGTTTTCTGGTATCAAAGCTGGGGAGTGCACTATGTAAACAATTTCCAGGACTCCAGCCAGAGAACAGTTGCAGAGCAGTCTCAGATCCAGAGGAGGGAGTCTCTTCCTATGCTGTCTGTCTGGTCCACCTAAAGGGGGCTTCCTGCAGATCTTGTGGTCATTATATGATTCAACACATTGCGCTTTTACTATGCGTATCTGGTGAGTGTGCATTTTTATCAAATTCCCTGCACGGATAAAAGTCAGATGGATTAAAATCACATGGAATTCTTTGATAGTACCTGTGCAACAGGATCTGTATGTGGAACACATTTTCTGACCGCTGCTTGTCAAACCCTCACCATCATAGGAACACATTCTTTGTCTGTTTTTTTACTTTCACAGTCGCACTTATATATTTATTTGCGCTCATTGTAGCGATTCACTCCTATGTTATCACTTGTGTTTAATAATATCATATTTTTTATTAGTGCACTGTTATATATTAATTCAGCGGTGCACCAATTTTTCTGTATGTTTTTTATATAAGGTTTTGGGTTTATTTATCTATTTCAGGTACTTGTATAGCGCCGACAATTTACGCAGCACTTTTACATATATATTGTACAGTCACATCAGTCCCTAACCCTCAAGGGGCGTACAATCTAAGGTCCCTAACTCACATTCATACATACACATACTAGGGACAATTTAGACAGGAGCCAATGGACCTGCCAGCATGTCTTTGGAGTGTGGGAGGAAACCAGTGTACCCGGAGGAAACCCACGCAGGCACAGTGAGAACATGCAAACTCCAGGCAGGTTCTTTCTAGTTCATATGCTGCTGACCTCATCAGAATCTTGAGCGCTCGCTGATCTTTCAACAAAAAGCTGTTTCATGGCCAGGGGGAATGGCTAATCTTAAGAGCTGTAAATCCTAAACCCAGGGGCGTATTTACCACAAGGCACTTGCCTAGGGCAGCAGTTTTCGGGGGGGCAGCACCTCCCCCCAAAAGAAGGGATGAAAGAAGGGACACGCGCACCATGGGTACCAGGTGGGATCCGAGAGAGGCTGCAGGCTGCTTGATGGTGTATGTAGAGCCTGACTCTCATTCCCGGGGATGTCTGGAGATGAAGACGAGTGGGGGGGGGGTTGTGGAAGGCTCTCCCAGGTGGGGGGGTAGGGGTGTAGTTGGTCAATGTCAGGTCAGGTTGGTGTTGGTCGGTGTCCATGGGGGCAGATGATTTTTCTGTTGCCTAGGGCAGCACAAAACCTAAATACACCAATGCCTAAACCCTTCCTCTAATGCGGATGTACAGTGGGGATCGAAAGTTTGGGCACCCCAGCTAAAAATTTGTATTAATGTGCATAAAGAAGCCAAGGAAAGATGGAAAAATCTCCAAAAGGCATCAAATTACAGATTAGACATTCTTATACTATGTCAACAAACGTTAGATTTTATTTCATCATTTACACTTTCAAAATAACATTAAACAAAAAAATGGCGTCTGCAAAAGTTTGGGCACCCTGCAGAATTTATAGCATGCACTGCCCCCTTTGCCAAGGTGAGACCTGCCAGTGTCATGGATTGTTCTCAATCATCGTCTGGGAAAGACCAGGTGATGTCAATCTCAAAGGTTTTAAATCCCAGACTCATCTGACCTTGCCCCAACAATCAGCACCATGGGTTCTTCTAAGCAGTTGTCTAGAAAACTGAAACTGAAAATAGTTGACGCTCACAAAGCTGGAGAAGGCTATAAGAAGATAGCAAAGCGTTTTCAGATGTCAATATCCTCTGTTCGGAATGTAATTAAGAAATGGCAGTCATCAGGAACAGTGGAAGTTAAAGCAAGATCTGGAAGACCAAGAAAAATATCAGACAGAACAGCTCGCAGGATTGTGAGAAAAACAATTCAAAACCCACGTTTGACTGCACGATCCCTCCAGAAAGATCTGGCAGACACTGGAGTTGTGGTACACTATTCCACTATAAAGAGATACTTGTACAAATATGGTCATCATGGAAGAGTCATCAGAAGAAAACCTCTTCTACGTCCTCAACACAAAAATCATCGTTTGAACTTTGCAAATGAACATATAGACAAGCCTGATGCATTTTGGAAACAAGTTCTGTGGACCGATGAGGTTAAAATTGAACTTTTTGGCCAGAATGAGCAAAGGTACGTTTGGAGAAGAAGGGGCACAGAATTGAATGAAAAGAACCTCTGTCCAACTGTTAAGCATGGGGTTGGATCAATCATGCTTTGGGGTTGTGTTGCAGCCAGTGGCACAGGGAACATCTCACGAGTAGAAGGAAAAATGGATTCAATAAAATGTCAGCAAATTTTAGATGGTAACTTGATGCCATCTGTGAAAAAGCTGAAGTTAAAGAGAGGATGGCTTCTACAAATGGATAATGATCCTAAACACACCTCGAAATCCACAGGGGATTACATCAAGAGGCGTAAACTGAAGGTTTTGCCATAGCCTTCACAATCTCCTGACCTCAACATAATTGAAAATCTATGGATAGACCTTAAAAGAGCCGTGCGTGACAGACAGCCCAGAGATCTCAAAGAACTGGAAGACTTT